TCCTCTGGCTTTCAACAGGGTTTTTAAAGAGGGTACCCGCTTCGGCTGCACCGAGAGTACCCCGTAATCAGTTTGTTATGTTCGCTACTTCTTCGTATGACTCGCACCCATCATGTACAATATCGTCGATCCGGGAATTAAACTCCACGTCCCTACATTTCCGAATTCATGCGAGACTAAGAGGAAGGAATCACAGTATAACAACTGCAGCCATGGTAGACTGTGGAGCTACCGCCCTGTTTTTAAACCAAGACTTTGCCACCCGGAACCACGTAAGATGCGCACCCCTCCATAAACCAATTGATGTTTTTAATATCGATGGAACACCTAACCGAGCTGGACGGATAACCCATTTTGCACGTCTAGCACTCACAGTGGATAATCAAGAGCGATGGATGGACTTTCTGATCACCAACCTAGGGGGTGAAGACATCATCCTTGGACTCCCCTGGCTACGGAAGGTAAACCCGGAGATTGATTGGGAGAAAGGACGACTCTCAGTAAAGCCTCCTCGAGTAACGATAGAAGAAGTCCCAGACGAGGAGATCTTGTACTCTCATCTAGCCGCCACTCACACAGAAAGCCCGATCCTCGAACTCCCAGAACCGGAATCTCCTGCAGAAAACCCCCACATTGAGGTGCCACCAGAAGCGACCCTTGAACAGAGCGAATCAATAGCGGTTGAAGAACTACCAATACACCGAATTCGAGCCAATCATAAAACTCGCCGTGCATGGGTAAAAGCAGGAATTCTAGAGGAACAGACGGAGGAAGTCTGGTGCGCCGCAGGATTCACCTACTCCCAGCAGCTAGCAGAGGAAGCCAACCGAGACAAACCCATTAAAACCTTCGAAGAAATGGTCCCTGAGCAGTATTGTGATTTCAAGAAGGTTTTCTCAGAATCTGCCTCCGAACGATTACCTGCCCACCAACCTTGGGACCATGCAATTGATCTCGTACCTGGAGCACCGGCAACCATGCGCACCAAGATTTATCCCATGTCCCTAAACGAGCAGGAGGAGTTGGATCGTTTCCTAGAAGAAAACCTATGAAAAGGCTATATCATCCCCTCAAAATCACCAATCTCATCACCGGTCTTCTTCGTAAAGAAGAAGGATGGGAAACTCCGTTTTGTACAAGATTACCGGAAACTGAACGAGTACACTGTGAAGAACCGATACCCTCTCCCATTAGTTGCTGACATCATTAGCCGACTTCAGGGAGCAAGATACTTCACGAAGTTTGATGTCCGCTGGGGTTATAATAACATACGGATTAAGAAGGGGCATGAATGGAAAGGCGCGTTCGCAACAACCCGAGGCTTGTTTGAGCCTAAGGTCATGTTCTTTGGTCTCACAAATTCCCCTGCCACATTCCAAGCACTTATGAATGCTATATTTGCTGATCTCATTGCAGCTGGCAAGGTAGCAGTCTACCTAGATGACATCCTTATCTTCAGTAACGATCTTGAGGAACACCGACGAATGGTACGGGAAGTATTAACTCGGTTAGAAAAGCACGACCTCTACCTACGACCCGAAAAATGCGAATTTGAACAACAACAGATTGAATACCTCGGACTCATCATCTCAGAAGGGGAGGTGAGAATGGATCCGGTAAAAGTAGCGGCTGTTCGCGACTGGCCAGTCCCTACTAATCTTCGGGAACTACGAGGGTTCTTGGGATTTGCAAACTTCTACCGACGCTTTATCCGGAACTTCGCCAAAATAGCACGACCTTTGAACGACCTGACGAAGAAAGACACCAGCTTTACCTGGACCGACACTCGACAGAACGCATTTGACACCCTTCGAGAAGCCTTCATCTCCGCACCGATCCTTGCTCTATGGACACCAGACAGGCCTACTCGAATTGAGGTAGACGCATCAGGCTTTGCCACGGGAGGCGCCCTTATGCAGAAGCAAGACGACGGCCAATGGCATCCGGTAGCCTTCAGATCGGCATCCATGCAGCCAGCGGAACGGAACTATGAAATTTATGATCGAGAGATGCTTGCTATCATTGAAGCACTGAAGGATTGGAGGAACTTTCTAGAAGGACTCCCTCAACCATTCGACATCATTACGGACCATTCGAACCTCGAATTCTGGCGCACTGCACAAGACCTCACCCGCCGACAAGCCCGATGGGCCCTCTATCTGTCACGGTTTGACTTTCATATGATCCATCGCCCTGGCAGAGTAAACACCCAAGCTGATGCTCTCTCCCGCATGGCAGTTCATCATGTATCGGACAGCGATGATAACCGGCAACAGACAGTCCTTAAACCCGGCCACTTCGTAAAAATTGCAGCTTCGATCCTACAGAACCCCTTAGAGGATCGTATCCGGAAAGCCTCAGAACGGGAAGCACAGGTACTGGAGGGTCTCAAAACAGTCAAAGAGCACGGACTACAGCGCTTGGCCAATGGGATAGCCGAATGGGAAGAGGACAATGGGTTGGTCTACTACCGAGGTCGAGTATACGTACCAGCAAACGACGACCTACACACTGAGGTACTCCGTCAATGCCACGACCATCCAACTGCAGGACACCCCGGACTACACGGGACACTCGACTTGGTCAGTACCCATTTCTGGTGGCCTACGTTGCGCTCTTTTGTGGAAAAATACGTTGAGGGATGCGAGGTTTGTGCCCGTAAGAAGATCCAGCGACACCCACGGGCCGTAACTCAACCATTAGATGTACCATCCGGTCTATGGGAAGAGGTAGGGGTTGACCTGATAACACAGCTACCTAACTCCCAAGGCTACGATGCTGTCTTGGTTTGCACAGACCTGTATGGAAAACAAATTCACGCTATTCCTTGCACCAGCTCCATCACAGCCGAAGGTGTTGCCGATATTTACTACCGAGAAATCTTCCGTCTCCATGGTCTTCCTCTTCACTTTAAATCCGACCGCGGACCCCAGTTTGCAGCTAAACTCATGCGATCCCTTCTCGCCAGGCTAGGAATTAAATCAGATCTAACCTCCGGATACCGTCCTCAGTCCAATGGCCAAACCGAACGAGCAAATCAGGAGGTAGAGAAATACATCCGCCTCTATGTGGGACGACGACAAGACGACTGGGCAGAGCACCTTCCCATGGCGGAGTTTGTGATTAACTCACGAACTCATTCTGCTCTAGGCATGTCCCCGTTCGAGTTAACCTACGGCTATCTTCCCCTGTTCAATATCCCAGTAGGCCAACGCAGCGGTATTCCAGCTGTGGATGACCGTATACGGATTCTCCGAGAAGCGCGACAAGATGCCGGGGCTGCCTTACACCTAGGAAAGAAACAACAGAAGGAGGGATACGAACGCGGAAAGCGGAAAGCTCATCAATTCAAAGTTGGAGACCTAGTCTGGCTCAGTGCAGAGGACATTAACCTTCAGCTTTCCAGTGAAAAGTTAGGAGATCGACAGCTTGGCCCTTATCGCATTCTGGAGAAAATTGGCCCTTTAGACTACCGCCTTGACCTTCCCCTATCCCTAGATCGCCTCCATCCCGTCTTCCATGTTGATAAACTATACCCCTGGAAAGGTAACTCCATTAATGGCGAAATACCAACACCACCAGAGCCGGTATACTTAGAGGATGAAGACGAACCGGAATACGAAGTAGAGGAGATCTTAGACAGCCGGGTTCGATGGAAGAAGTTGGAATATTTGGTTAAGTGGAAAGGTTACGGCGCAGGGCACAACTCTTGGGAACCCGCAGCCAACCTCAGTCGAGCACCAAAAATTGTTCGGGCCTTTCATAAAAAACACCCAACAGCGGCAAAGCCTTGACCATCGAGGGCAATGGTCATAAGGAGGGGGGTAATGTCATAAAGTACGCAGCCCCTATCATTTTCCTTTTCTCACCGTCTCGACGCCTTTACTTGTACGATACATCATCCCATCACTGTCAAACCTCCATCGATTACTGATCCACCTGACCCATCTTCTCCTTCTACTGGCTTCCGCCACCTTCCTTGTTCCTAAACTGTACAGTATTACATCGTTGTTTCTCGCAGACCGGATTATGTATATATAGCCAACCCTCCACAGCCTGGTCCCTTATCTTGACCTCTCTGTCATTATCTGGGACCAGGTATGTGCTTACTTATTATTACCTATGACTACGATACTCAATATATCTCTGTCATTATCTGGGACCAGTTCGCCTCCGCTCCGCTTAGTCGCTCCGCCTCATTGACCTGCTTAGTCGCTCCGCCTCACTGCCTGGCTTAGTCACCCCGCTTCCTGCTCCGCTAGTCACTCCGCCTCTGCCGCTTCGTGACACTATCCAATAACTACTACTTGATATCTACTCCCACCTACTTTGCCCTTTTGTTTCTACAAACTTTTTCGACGGAGAGAGCAATGCAACATTATAATACCCGTTACTATCGGGGTTAATGCTAACTGTATCATTAGGTCCAAGCTGAGGAAGTTGAGAAGCAACTAATGCTAGATTGTCCAAGGTAACTCTTGACGACGATGCTATCATGGCTCCTGGATGTGTGGCTTGCTGTACAGGAGATAGTGGCACTGGAGGAGGAGGAGGAATGAGAAGTTGAGAGGTGGGTGATTTTGTATGAGCCCGAGGCTCTGGAATGTAAGAAGTATCCCAATCTTGCAAAGGGGAATGACTCCGATGTGATGGATATTGTGAGTAGGAATGATGACTTTGCAATGGGGAGTAGCGTCGTGAATAGCGATGACGAGAATGATGATGGGAATCACGGCTGTGTAGATAACTGCGTGAACGAGAGCGATGACGACCACGCAAATGTGAACGTGAACGAGAGCGGGAGTGAGAGCGATAATGATGCCGTGAGTAATGTGAAGGGGAGCATTGACTTCGGAGCATCTGGAGCTCGGTCTCAGCTCTGTCTGCTCGTCGCCTCTGCTCAGTGTTTTCCTGGGTGAGCATGTTGAGCTGTGTCTGCATGTTTTGGAGCATCATGAGCTGAAAGTTTGCTGATGAACAATCATCTTCTCGACGGTGCAGGATCTCAGGATCAAGAGATGAGCTGATTCGGTCTAGTACAGCAGTAGCCTGATTCCGGCGGGGCTGTGGACGCAATGGGGCTTCTGTTTTGTACGCTTTAGTAAGAACAGTTCCAGGTTCCTTCTTGGTCCCCTTTGCAGTTTTCATCTGTGGGTTGTCGTCGTCATCATCATCATTGGAGGAGATCTCGACAACATCATCCTGCACATCACCAATTGCTGCCTTCTCATTCAGACTATCTTCAGCCATAAGTGCTTCAGCATACATCTGGCGACGCTCAGCATCACCAGTGGGTTTCGTCTTCGCAATAGTCACAAACTAGAAAGAAATATGTGACATTATATGATTGAAATTATAAACTGATAACTTACGCTATTGAACTTATTGGCCAGTGGCCGTCTTTCTCGCCCACTTGTTGTATGTGCTAACAACTGCTTCCCAACCCTTCTGACCAATCGGCAACATGTCCCCAACTCGTTCAACAAGCTCTTGACATTCTTCATCTCCATAAGTAAGGGCACCTTTTGTTCGACCTCCTTTCTTCTTCGGGCATGCTTCATTCCCACTTCCTCCTGAATCCGACTCATCATTCTTTGGTAAAGCCCGTTGATGCTTCTTCTTTTCAGCCTTCACTTCTGGCTTCCTATCTATTTTCGGATCTACTGCCTTTTTCTGTGCCTTCACTACCAACTCAGCAGGGGTTGGCAAAGGAGGACTAAGTGGACGAGGGTCAGGTGGAGGTTGATATGGAGTAGTTGACTGATTCTGATGGAGTGTATTCCCGAAGTGATCAGGCAACTCGAAGTTCGGAGGTGACCGCACAAGAGGGTGGGGACGAGGACGAGGATGATTTTTGGCAGAGTGAGAATTACTGACTAGTGATGGTGGCAGATTTTGAGATCGTGGTGTGGACATATAATATTGAGAAGAAGGTCGTTGATGATTAGCTTCATTGTTCTGCTCCAATTGTTAGTCGCTCTATGAACCAATATGATTGATTGACTTACAGATGTGGCTTGTTGATTAAGAATCTTTCCATGTCCATTCGAGTGATGACCAAGTCCAGGAGGAGGTAGTTCTGGATGTGATAGATAGTACGCCGAATTGTACTGGCTGTGTCGATTCTGCTCCTGATGCAGATGTTCAGTACTGAACCATTCGTGATCACTGTCGTACTGGTTACCAACTTGGGAATGATTGTACTGGCTGTGGAAAGGCTGGTCCATTGGGGGAGGTGTAGTCCCAGTTGGAGCTTGGGCTTGGTTGGTGTTTTGCTGAGGTGAGGACATACTAGTTGGACAATACCAGGAAGTATAACGTTTCAATGCAACAGGGAGTAGCAGTGGGCAGCTGGTCTTGGGGTGTCGGGGGGTGGCATTTTATATCTCCTCTGACTAGCTTCTGCACTCGGAGCATCTTGTGCACATTTTTTCACTCCTGTCTTCCTCCTCCTATCATTGCGTGGACCTTGTTTCACAACCTTTCCCCCTCTTATCCTTGATTAAATTATCCTCATGGGTTCGAGTTGCTTCAGACATAGATATGTATGCACACCCTTTTGCTTATCCAGATATATTTCATTTTGAACATTCAAATGACTCTGGTAGGGATTCTAGGGAACAAAGAATGAGCAAGAGAAGGCACTGTTAAGATCATGTACACCGTGTAACCGTGCCAAAGCCACAAGGTGTCTAAGTGCGGAAGACGAGTGGGACAGTAGTGAAGTTATTAACAACACCGCCGTTACGCCGTTAGTCCCCGGAGATCGAGAGCAGAGAAGGGAGGAACTGAGGAGCAGCCAAGTCGGAGTGGCGGTAACGCCAGTGACGAGGAGCGAACCAGAGAACGTCTAAGTCCTAAGGTTATAGTAGAGAGTACTCCAAGGCGTTGAGCCTGAAGACTTAGAGAAGAGTTAAGTTGGGAAGGGAGATCTAAGTTGATCTAAGTCGATAATTAAACTGAGGAACTACAGTAGCGTACAGGCAGTATTTATATCTACGGAACGGCGCATCGGTGCAGAGCGCCAGACTAACTACTAGGAGCTATACGAGTAGTACCTGCAGGGTAAAGTAAAAGACAATAAGGAAGGACTAGAATGAAAGGGTATGTGTAGCGAGAAAGAACAATAAGAGTGGATCTTCGGAGTACCAAGCGGCGGAATGGAGGCCCGAGGCATGGACTTGACAGTATCCCCCTCTTAGGCTTGAGCCCTCGAAAGCCGTTAATACCAGGAGTTGGTTAGTCACCAAAGAAAAATTTTAAAGGCCGTCAGCATCGGGGATTAGGCCTATCAGTCAGTAGGAAAATTTCCAAAAGCCGTTGGTACCGGGAATTGGTCGTTAGTCATCAGTGAAAATTTTCGGTTCACCGTAAACCAAACACAATTCAAAGGAAAATTTTCGCTGGTCCGTGCGCAGTTTTGCCGTATAAAAGGCCCAGAGTTTCGCCGATAAGACCCAAGTTCCCAAAAACTTCTAAGTCCCACAAAGATGTCGACCAGCCGAACACAAACAACTACTACCAGCTCCTCGACCGCCGGCCCTTCGAGGTCGCGCCCTGTCCCACCCCCGCCAATCGACCTTACTACCCACAAGGAGGGAGGCCTGGAGGATGAGATAATCCGGAGGGCGCAGGCGCGCGTAGAGAGGGTTAGGGCGCGGAAGGCGGCGGAGGCGGCGAAGAAGGCCGCAGAAGAAAAGGCTGCAAGGGCAGCAGCAGCGAGAGAGAGAGCGGCACAGGAGGCGCGAGAGCGGGCCCGCCGGGCACAGCAACAGGAGGAGGAGGCTGTTGGCCGCAGCGGCGACAGCTCGGAGTCAGAGGGGGACCTCCCCAAGTGAGGTGTCGGTTTCGCCGCGGAGGCCCGTGGTAGAGATTTCGAAAAAGAGCAAGGGAAAGGGCAAGGCCCAGGTGCGTACTTTCTCTATGATAACTAGGTAGTTGTCTGACTTCTTCCTGCTAGCCCGTGGACGAAGACCCGGACGACGGCGATGACAGCGATGATGACGAGGACGAAAAGGAACCCTGCGAACGATGCAGGACAAAGAAGATCAAACATCACCGTTTGGCCCGAGGTCGATATGAAGTCTGATCTAGCTAGAGACTTCGTCGTCAACCTCGATGAACTCCACGCTTTCCTTCGAGAGGAAATCCTTTTAGCTCAGTCCCGTTACAAGGAACAAGCTGACAGGAAAAGAATCTCGCACCCGGAGTTCCCGATCGGCTCCGAAGTATTTGTTCTTGCTAAGCACATTCGCTCTACTCGTCCTACTGAAAAATTCTCTGAAAAATATCTTGGTCCTTTCAAGGTCATCAGTCAACCTGGTACTCTGTCTTACGAGCTCAAGCTCCCGGACTATCTTCACCGCATTCACCCGGTTTTCCACGTCTCACAGCTGGAGCCGGTTATGCCGAATCCATTCCCGAATCGTACTCAATCTCCTCCACCTCCAATTGAAGTGGACGGCGAAGAGGAGTACAACGTTGCCGAAATTCTGGACTCCAAGCTGGACAGAAGGTATAAGCGTTGTCCTCTACGTTACTATATTTGGTGGGCCGGTTACGAAGGTACCGATGATGAATTCTCTTGGGTTGCTGCTGATGAATTACATGCTGACGAGCTGGTACCCGCATTCCATGCTCGTTATCCTTTGAAGCCTGGACCTTGACTGCAAAAAATCATTTTATTCCTTTTCCCGTTCTCGCCGCACTCCGCCGAAGTTTACTTTATGCATTTAGAGGATAAACACGATGATAGCAAATTGAGTGTTTACCTCTTCTCTTAATTGCTTACATTCTTCTTCAGTTTACTGTTTTTACTTATATTTCATTTTACACTTAAGCTACATATACTTCGAACAAATTAAATTCTACCGCTGCTTCACGGCACATTTGCTTTCCGATTTCAAATCGAGTTAACATTTTTTATATACAAAAAGCAAAAAGACAAAAAATTATGTACAGGAGGCAGAGGACTACAAGAAGTGTTCAAGAAAGACCGAAGGGCCGAGGTCCGATGTCCGTAGGTACTCTACTCCGCCCTTTCCTTCCCCTTCTCCGACTGCGCCGTAGCCGGCGCCGGCTCCTCCTCTACCATCTCCTCTTCATCTCCTTCCCCATCTTCCTCCATTCCCTGTTCCTCTACCTCCTTCTCTCTTTCGCGATCCTCTTCTTCATCGCTGTCCATTACCCTCCTCTGCTTCTTCGGCAATTCCGACGGTCCGGCTTGCAGCAGTTCAGGGGGTGTTCTCCTCCTCCTCGCGGCATCTGTTACCAGCCAGTCCAGCTTCCGGTTCATGTGTCGATGGTAGGTATTGGCTTTTACCTGACCATCCCAGAGTTGTCGATTATCCGCGAGTAACTGCGCTACCTGGCTTTCCAGAACTGCCAGGCGCTCGCCGGTTGGGTTGGAGCCGCCTTCTCGCTTCACCGTGGACGGCCGTCCGGAGTACGAACACCGTACTTTCGCATCATGGCAGGGTTTACAGATGATGGAACTTCTCTTGCCAGATGCAGGCTTGTTTGGAAGATCGATCCACGACGACGAGGATAGCTGTATAGCCATTTGACATTGGCAGTTGCTCAATGAAGTCCATAGAGATGGAATCCCATGGTCGGACCGGAACCGGCAGAGGTTTCAACAAGCCGTAAGGCCGATGACGGCGGGGCTTATTGCGACCACAGATAGTGCAAGAGGTAACGTAGTCACGAACAAAGTCTCTGACCTTGGGCCAGGTGTATTGACGACATACAGCTTCTAGAGTGCGGTTCTGGCCGAAATGGCCGGAAAGTGGATGATCATGGAAATAGCGGAGGACTTGAAGGCGAAGATCGCCGTGATTAGGGACATAAATACGGTCGTCAAGGCGTAGTAGCTTGTCACTACCTAAGCTCCAACGTTCATTGGAAGGATCTTTTGCAAGTTCCAAACCAACAACGGAGCTCGGATCGGCGGGGAGGGCGAGGATGATTGCTTGGTGTAGGGCTTCGATATCCATGATAATCGAGGCTCGTAAAACCGGGCCTTCCAGGAAGGTAGCTCGAAGAGACGCAGTGAGTTGTTCGTTAGTAAAGATAGGATGGAAGTTATGAGGGTTCACTTGGGCGTAGCCGATATCCCCCTCTTTAGGGTAGACGTCCCAGCGTCTAGTTATCGAATCAGGTTTCTCGCCGAGTTTCCCCGGTCGGAAGCAAATGACCATATTAAATTGATGTAAAAATTCAGACCATCGGACCTGTCGGCGTGTAAGAACCTTGGTAGTAGAGAAATACTCAAGATTCTTGTGATCGGTGACGACATCCACCGGATCACCCGAACCTTCCAGATAATGACGCCAAGCCTTAAAGGCCTCGAAGATGGCCAGAAGCTCTTTGTCGTGTGTATCGTAGTTGAGTTCAGCTGCGTGAAGCATTCTGGAAAGGAAGGCTAGAGGATGAATTTCACCGTCAGCATATTGGATGGAAAGAATAGCCGCAATGGCGTAATCGGAAGCGTCGGTTTCCACGATAAGTGGGCAATTCGGCTCCCAATGGGCCAGTATTGGCGCAGAAGTGAAAGCAGTTTTGAGATTTTCAAAGGCCTCTTGACAGCTGCTGTCCCAGATCCAGGAAGCGCCTTTTCGGGTAAGCCGAGTCAACGGCACAACGATATCACTGTAATTATAAATGAAATGACGATAGAAATTTGCAAAACCCAGGAAGGACTGAATGTCCTTAACCTTCCTCGGAACCGGCCACTCTAGAACTGTCTGAACTTTCTCCTTGGACATAGTCAATCCGTCGGGAGAAAGAATATAACCCAAATACTCAACAGTATCCATATTGAATTTGCACTTCTCGGGGTTGGCGTAAAGCCGATGTTTCCATAACCGCCGCAGAACCTCCTTGACGTGTTCTCGGTGTTCTTCTGGCGTATCAGAGTAGATTAGAATATCGTCAAGATAGACGATGACACAAACATCGAGCATGTCAGAGAAGATGTCATTAACAAACCGCTGGAAAGCCGCAGGGGC